TAATTCCTATGACGATGTGCCCAGCTCCCTAACTGTCAGGCCCTCAAAGTTGTACTGGTTTATTCAAATGACAATCAATCACTGAGACTGCGACCATACCCGAGGCCACAACATCTTGGTCTTCACATCTTCAAAATCTCATTTTGTTTTTGTCCGATAAGAGGGAGATTATCTCCTTGTCTGCGTCGACATGAACGTCAAATCAAATCCAGACGGCGGCAGTACAACGAGAATCAGCCATCGTCTTCCGGTACGATCGACCCAGAAATGTGCATTTTGCCCTTACATCCGACTACATTACTTATACAAGTAGTAAGTAGCCTTCTAGACTATCACTAGATTGCGAATAAGAGTTCTGGTCTCCCTTGGTCAAGCAAGCCGATGATGATGTTCATCTTGTATGATACTACCTTTTAAGGAACAATATTAAGTGAAATTCCATGACATTGTGCGACCTACTCATATGATTGTGGTGAAATTCTACTGTCAATCGCTAAATAATTTTATGCAACGTATTACTTGCTGTTGAAATGAGATAAGAACTAGCACTTGTATGAAATAATAAAGTGTTGGAAGCAAACTGGGATATCCTGCAACTCCCATTGGCATGAATCTTCTTATCCACCCAATCAGAGTCAATTATCCCGCTTTTATAACCGGGAGAAGCTGACACAGTCATTATTCCAGATCCGCTGTTTTCTTCAGTCTACTTCCAGTTTAGACCATTCAAACTTTGGTCCAGAATGGCTCCGATGCAGCAAGTCAAGTGGGCAGCGCTTCGAGGTGATAATCTTTTTGACAAGAATCTGATAATTCCGACGAGCCCAATGTAAGGTCAATATTTTTTGTTGTCCCACTTTTTTCATCAGAATTCCACTTCTTCTTTGATGCCTCCGGGGCTCTGCCATTGGACGCATGTCTTCAGAACTTGCGCATTTTGGCTGACTTCTGCGACCGTCACCTGCCTCCCATCGTGAAGGTCCTCCTGCAGCCTGTGAGCAGATCATCCTCTGAACACCCCACCAGTGCCGCTCTGTCCGACCCAACCGTCAACACCGAGGACTGTCTGTATCCTCTTGACTCGGCCGATCTCATCAACTCGGCCCGAAGTGGCGACAACTACCTCGGCATCTACTTTCACAGTCTGGCAGGCATCGGACCGACGCACCACAGGTTGCATGTGGCCGCTCTGGTCGGAGAATTGTTCGATGCCTTCGAGGCGCGACTGCTCTTCAGACCGACCTACACGGTCTACCAGACCTATCCCTTGGCCCGGCTGTATCGGGCAGGTCGGTACGGCCGACAGGCGGCGGTGGTTCAGGCCTCTTCAGCGGCGTCAAGCCATGGTGAGTGGGAGACGTCTCTGCATTTTCGCAACTCGGTTGTGTTGCCGGGGCGACCTAGACGAAGTGGTCCTGGACTGTATCCTCTGGCATTCTAGTTTTGATGGGTTTTAGCATCACAGCATTGACTTTATGCATTCCCGGGAATTTTGCTGATCTCGTGGTACTAGTTGTGGTCGAAGTCGATTCCGGGTTCGAGATCACCTTCCAGCCCTTGGGCAAAATTCTTCTTCACCCAAACAGCCTTGATAATTAGGACTGTTTAAAACTCGACAACCCCTTGAGAATCGTAATTGCATGAAGTTTACTCTTCAGCCTATGCTTAAAATTATATTTATTCTATAGGAATAGCAATAATTTTAAATTCCAGTTAAATTTTCCAACAATGGTATGAATAGGTTTCATGTTTCTATTGAATTTTACATTGCCTTGCTTCCAAAAAAGTATTCTCATCAATGGTGGACTGCAGTGAAATTCACTGGAAATGTAAGGCCAACTCGTATCCGTGTGTGAAAATTCGACTATCAGTCCTTCATTTTTTTGTACCACCTAGGGCGACTGTACTACTATTCAAGATTTACCCGTATTTTCGAAGCCTACTTAATATTAAAGTAAGTAATATATTTTATTTTAATGGAAAAAAACATACGTTTTTCTCATCTAACATCCCATTATATAGATGTGCTATGAGAGGGATATGAATAAAAACTGTGCCAAAGAATTTTTATTAATTCATTTTGGCATGACTTTCCATTTCGAAGGAATAGTTGGCTGGAAGGAATCCGTGAAATGGTCACCGAATCTACTCCCGATTAGTGAATCAATTTCACTCATCTGCAAGCATGTAAAGTAAGTTTGAGGTAGCCAGCTAAATCATGTGAGGCCTCATTAAGGTTAGGTGTATAGAAAGTACTTAGGGTTGCAAATGAGCACACTTTTTTTGGTTTAGTATGCTTTTTGCTCCATTTAGTAAGGTATGGATACTTGCTGTGATCATGTGTATCAGTGTACAGACGAAAGCT